CGGTTAGTCCTAAAATAAAGTGATGATTTTAAAATATTTCAAAATATCCATTTTTTATTAATTAATCCATTCGGTAGAAAGACCATTGCCCTATAAAAGAGACGATTATTTTACTAATAATCACAAAGGCCGCCAGATTGGCGGTTAGTCCTAATATAAAGCGATGACTTAAAATTATTTCAAAATCTTCGATTGTTATTAATTAATCCATATGGTAGTAAGAACATTGCTCTAGTAATGAGACGACGATTTTACAGATAGTAACACAGGCCGCCAGATTGGCGGTTAGTCCTAAAATAAAGCGATGACTTTATAATATTTCAAAATATTCGATTGTTATTAATTAATCCATACGGTAGTAAGAAAATAGCGCTATTAAAAAGACGACGAATTTACAGATACTGACACAGGCCGCCAGATTGGCGGTTAGTCCTAAAATAAAGCGATGACTTTAAATTATTTCAAAATATTCGTTTGTTGTTTTTTAGTCCTTTCGCAGAAAGAACATTGGTCTATTAAAGAGACGACGATTTTACAGATACTGACACAGGCCGCCAGATTGGCGGTTAGTCCTAAAATAAAGCGATGACTTTATATTATTTAAAATTATTCGATTGTTATTAATTAATCCAAATGGTGATAAGAAAATTGCTCTATTAAAAAGTCGACGATTTTACAGATACTGACACAGGCCGCCAGATTGGCGGTTAGTCCTAAAATAAAGCGATGACTTTAAAATATTTCAAAATATTCGTTTTTTATTAATTAATACATTCGGTAGAAAGAACATTGCCCTATACAAGAGACGATTACTATACTAATAATCACAAAGGACGCCAGATTGGCGGTTAGTCCTAAAAAAAGTGATGACGTTAAATTATTTCAAAATATTCGATTGTTGTTTTTTAGTCCTTTCGCAGAAAGAACATTGGTCTATTAAAGAGACGACGATTTTACAGATACTGACACAGGCCGCCAGATTGGCGGTTAGTCCTAAAATAAAGCGATGACTTTAAAATATTTCAAAATATTCGTTTTTTATTAATTAATACATTCGGTAGAAAGACCATTGCCCTATACAAGAGACGATTATTTTACTAATAATCACAAAGGCCGCCAGATTGGTGGTTAGTCCTAATATAAAGCGATGACTTAAAATTATTTCAAAATCATCGATTGTTATTAATTAATTCATATGGTAGTTAGAACATTGCTCTATTAAAGAGACGACGATTATACAGATACTTTCACAGGCCGCCAGATTGGCGGTTAGTCCTAAAATAAAGCGATGACTATAAAATATTTCAAAATATTCGTTTTTTATTAATTAATACATTCGGTAGAAAGAACATTGCCCTATACAAGAGACGATTTTTTTACTAATAATCACAAAGGCCGCCAGATTGGCGGTTAGTCCTAATATAAAGCGATGACTTTAAATTATTTCAAAATCATCGATTGTTATTAATTAATTCATATGGTAGTTAGAACATTGCTCTATTAAAGAGACGACGATTATTCAGATACTTACACAGGCCGCCAGATTGGCGGTTAGTCCTAAAATAAAGTGATGACTTTAAATTATTTCAAAATATTCGGTTGTTATTTTTTAATCCATCCGCAGAAAGAACATTGCCCTATACAAGAGACGATTATTTTACTAATAATCACAAAGGCCGCCAGATTGGCGGTTAGTCCTAAAATAAAGCGATGACTTTATATTATTTCAAAATATTCGTTTGTTATATATAAATCCATTCGGTAGAAATAACATTGCTCTATTAAAGAGACGACGATTTTACAGATACTGACACAGGCCGCCAGATTGGCGGTTAGTCCTAAAATAAAGCGATGACTTTAAAATATTTCAAAATATTCGTTTTTTATTAATTAATATATTCGGTAGAAAGACCATTGCCCTATACAAGAGACGATTATTTTACTAATAATCACAAAGGCCGCCAGATTGGCGGTTAGTCCTAATATAAAGCGATGACTTTAAATTATTTCAAAATCATTGATTGTTATTAATTAATTCATATGGTAGTAAGAACATTGCTCTATTAAAGAGACGACGATTTTACAGATACTGACACAGGCCGCCAGATTGGCGGTTAGTCCTAAAATAAAGTGATGACTTTAAATTATTTCAAAATATTCGATTGTTATATTTTAATCCATCCGCAGAAAGAACATTGCTCTATAAAAGAGACGATGATTTTACAACTACTGACACTGGCCGCCAGATTGGCGGTTAGTCCTAAAATAAAGCGATGACTTTATATTATTTCAAAATATTCGTTTGTTATATATAAATCCATTCGGTAGAAATAACATTGCTCTATTAAAGAGACGACGATTTTACAGATACTGACACAGGCCGCCAGATTGGCGGTTAGTCCTAAAATAAAGCTATGACTTTATATTAATTCAAGATATTCGATTGTTATTAATTAATCCATACGGTGTAGTAAGAAAATTGCTCTATTAAAAAGACGACTATTTTACAAATACTGACACAGGCCACCAGATTGGCGGTTAGTCCTAAAATAAAGCGATGACTTTAAAATATTTCAAAATATTCGTTTTTTATTAATTAATACATTCGGTAGAAAGAACATTGCCCTATACAAGAGACGATTATTTCACTAATAATCACAAAGGCCACCAGATTGGCGGTTAGTCCTAATATAAAGCGATGACTTTAAATTATTTCAAAATCATCGATCTTTATTAATTAATCCATATGGTAGTAAGAACATTGCTCTATTAAAGAGACGACGATTTTACAGATACTTACACAGGCCGCCAGATTGGCGGTTAGTCCTAAAATAAAGTGATGATTTTAAAATATTTCAAAATATTCATTTTTTATTAATTAATCCATTCGGTAGAAAGACCATTGCCCTATACAAGAGACGATTATTTTACTAATAATCACAAAGGCCGCCAGATTGGCGGTTAGTCCTAATATAAAGCGATGACTTAAAATTATTTCAAAATCTTCGATTGTTATTAATTAATCCATATGGTAGTAAGAACATTGCTCTAGTAATGAGACGACGATTTTACAGATACTAACACAGGCCGCCAGATTGGCGGTTAGTCCTAAAATAAAGTGATGATTTTAAAATATTTCAAAATATCCATTTTTTATTAATTAATCCATTCGGTAGAAAGACCATTGCCCTATACAAGAGACGATTATTTTACTAATAATCACAAAGGCCGCCAGATTGGCGGTTAGTCCTAATATAAAGCGATGACTTAAAATTATTTCAAAATCTTCGATTGTTATTAATTAATCCATATGGTAGTAAGAACATTGCTCTAGTAATGAGACGACGATTTTACAGATAGTAACACAGGCCGCCAGATTGGCGGTTAGTCCTAAAATAAAGCGATGACTTTATAATATTTCAAAATATTCGATTGTTATTAATTAATCCATACGGTAGTAAGAAAATAGCGCTATTAAAAAGACGACGAATTTACAGATACTGACACAGGCCGCCAGATTGGCGGTTAGTCCTAAAATAAAGCGATGACTTTAAATTATTTCAAAATATTCGTTTGTTGTTTTTTAGTCCTTTCGCAGAAAGAACATTGGTCTATTAAAGAGACGACGATTTTACAGATACTGACACAGGCCGCCAGATTGGCGGTTAGTCCTAAAATAAAGCGATGACTTTATATTATTTAAAAATATTCGATTGTTATTAATTAATCCATATGGTGATAAGAAAATTGCTCTATTAAAAAGTCGACGATTTTACAGATACTGACACAGGCCGCCAGATTGGCGGTTAGTCCTAAAATAAAGCGATGACTTTAAAATATTTCAAAATATTCGTTTTTTATTAATTAATACATTCGGTAGAAAGAACATTGCCCTATACAAGAGACGATTATTATACTAATAATCACAAAGGACGCCAGATTGGCGGTTAGTCCTAAAAAAAGTGATGACTTTAAATTATTTCAAAATATTCGATTGTTGTTTTTTAGTCCTTTCGCAGAAAGAACATTGGTCTATTAAAGAGACGACGATTTTACAGATACTGACACAGGCCGCCAGATTGGCGGTTAGTCCTAAAATAAAGCGATGACTTTAAAATATTTCAAAATATTCGTTTTTTATTAATTAATACATTCGGTAGAAAGAACATTGCCCTATACAAGAGACGATTATTTTACTAATTATCACAAAGGCCGCCAGATTGGCGGTTAGTCCTAATATAAAGCGATGACTTTAAATTATTGCAAAATCATCGATTGTTATTTATTAATCCATATGGTAGTAAGAACATTGCTCTATTAAAGAGACGACGATTTTACAGATACCTACCCAGGCCGTCAGATTGGCGGTTAGTCCTAAAATAAAGTGATGACTTTAAATTTTTTCAAAATATTCGATTTTTATTTTTTAATCCATCCGCAGAAAGAACATTGCTCTATTAAAGAGACGATGATTTTACAGATACTGACACAGGCAGCCAGATTGGCGGTTAGTCCTGAATTTAAGCGATGACGTTAAAATATTTCAAAATATTCGTTTTTTATTAATTAATCCATTCGGTAGAAAGAATATTGCCCTATACAAGAGACTTGATTATACATTATACTTATAATCACAAAGGCCGCCAGATTGGCGGTTAGTCCTAAAATAAAGTGATGACTTTAAATTATTTCAAAATATTCGATTGTAATTTTTTAGTCCTTTCGCAGATAGAACATTGCTCTATTAAAGAGACGACGATTTTACAGATACTTACACAGGCCGCCAGATTGGTCGTTAGTCCTGAAATAAACCCTCCTCCTCAATAGAATTTAGACAATGTAGAGGATGAAAGAATCTTCTGTTTTCTGTAAGCGATACTTTATCATTAAACTATTCCTGAAAATCACTCACAAACAGTATTTTCAAAATAAATGTTAATAAGTTGAAGAGTTGACTCAAAATGCAATAATTAGAAATTAAAAAAATAAAATTAAACTGATTGTATTTAATAAATTAACTTTTATTATTATTTCAATCTTAAATATGTAAGTGATGCGTGGACCAACACTTTCTCATTAAAAATTGTATGGCCCGACGCAAAAAATTGCCTAAACGCGTTCAAAACTAATAATGAAGACAATGAGATGCTAACTGCAGCAGTCGGGTTTTTTATTGAGTTTAATACTAACAACAGAGGAGGTGCCTTTACTACAACTCTGAGGATTTTTGCGGTCGTTGCAAAGTAACTTTTACCTAATTCACAACATATTGAGAAAACTGCAAATACAAAATCAGAGACATAGTGAATAACCCCTAGTATTCCTATCCGTCTCAGCATGTACAACCATATTGGCAAAATAAATTAAATATTTTAAGGATGTATAAATATAATACAATATATACTAGCGAGCGGAATTATATAAGATATGAAGTGCTACTAAACTTGATTAAAAAATTATTCAAACTTTTCTATTTCATCAAGTTTAGAAGAAAGCACTCAGGTTTTAAAGAATGAAAAAATCTTTAATTATCAGGCCTTGATCCACAATTAACATTTATTCTGCAACGGCCTGTGCCTGCGTCATATCGAAGTTGGAATGGACACCGCATTTTCCTGGGAGTTCTGTTGAAGAATCCGCACTTGTAGAAACTCCTGCAGCTGGTGGAATCCACGATTTTGTGTTTGCCGGCGCACAACGGCACCACCGGTGCAGTTGTTGGAAGGGTCATGGTCGTGGGCACATTTGGTGCTGGGGTGATTGTGGGCGTTGTTGTGGGTAGGGTTGAGGGTAGGGTTGAGGGTAGGGTTGTTAAGCTTGGGTCACATCCAGCCAGCGCCGGCGTCCCGCAAACTCGAGTGCGGTTGTTGAAATGCTGACCAGCGGGGCACGTATCAACGTAAGGGATTGCGTTAATTGCATGACAGCTATAGTAAACATCGCAAGCTGCAAGGAGAATCATGAAAATTAATGTTATATAATAAAATTTTAGTCACTTTTTCAAATAAGTGTCTTTTTGTATTTGATAAATCAGGAAACGTTTTTGTATATTGTTAACAGCAAAGTTTGTGAATTATTTAACGTGGCGTGATGTCAGGTACCAGGTGTGTGTTAAATAGGCAATTTTGAGAATTTGCATATGTAAATGCTTCTAAATTATTTGTCTTCATCTTTTTAGGGCAATTAACCAAATGTGCAGAAATTCATTCAAATTGGTTGACCCTTTGCAAAAAGTGGGTCTATTTAAAATAAAAATACTGCCGTACTAATATGAAAAGGCCAATTTTTAACTGTATTTCAAAAAATTTTGAATTTCAAAAAGAAAAAAAATAACCTTCTTTCTAATTATCAGCCATAAAAAGATTCTCGCTTTTGGGAGCGCGAGTGACATGAGTATTAATTAAGTAACAACCAGTGACATATAATAAATTTAATTTGAAGGCAATGAACCTTAAGCGCGGATTTTTTATAGCTATAATTTTTAACATTGTGTAATTTTTTACCAGGATATCCAACACCAACTATTCCAGGAGCTCGGCATGACAGACTTAAACAAGGACTTAAGCCAGGAATATCAGTTGGAGGGACGAACGGCGGTGCTGTATTTGATGCGATCTGCCTAGCTACCCTAGCTGCTCTGGATCTCGAGAAATTTAATAAGATTCGGCCACCAGGGGCAGGTTCAGTGGTTGTGGACTCCGTGGTAGTTGTGGTCGGCGTGGTTGTTGAGGTCGGCGTGGTAGTTGTGGTCGTTCCGGTAGTTGTTGTGGGCGGCACGGTTGTTTTTGGTGTAATTGGAAGTGGAGCTGTCCCAGTGGTTACAGTGTCGACGCAGAAGGTAGATGCCGGACAGTGAAACAGAGCCAAGTTTTCGCCAGCTGGAAAAACGCCGTCTGCAGGACAACGCGTGTAGGATTTACGATGGATGTCGCATGTTACTTGATTCGGGGTGCAAAAGCTTTGTGCTGCGGAATATCGCACTGCCACCAGAACCTGCAACAATTATTGAAATTTAGGAGAAACCCGCATTACAGTCAAATTGTATCAGTTTCGCTAATTAAATAATATTAATATCCATAATTTCCCACTGCTAGGATAAGTGATGTCTGCATAATGTTTCAAGCATTTGACTCCCACAAGTTTTGATAGGAAAGTGCGACTCTGGTCTTATTTGGCAAGTCTTTTTTATACTGAGGGAAGTGTACATGCAAACATCATAAGAAGATACCGTTTAATTTATTTGCACACACCAAATTGCAATTATTAACATGCGCATGCTCTAATTTTTCATTAATTGTTTTTGCTCTAGATTGCTTGCATACGCGCTCTCAACTTCTAAGAAAAATTTTTATTTATTCATTACGATTAAAATGGTGTTAAATTCACATTTGTGCCACTTAAATTTAGAATGTATTGAAAGGAAAGAATTGCGTCGCGCGTACTATAGAGGTTTCCGAGGTATTTGATGTCGACTTTGAATATTTATGTATTAATATTGTAATTCTTATTATTTTTTTTTTATCAATACTTTATACTAATATTTTTTTAACTCTCTTCACTTTGACTTTAGAGCTCCTGAGAACACGTTTTTTTAATTGTGAGAGTCAATATTTTAAAGCCATTTGCAAAATATTCTATGATTAAAAGCTGTAAAAATAAAACTATTTTATTTATCACGTAATACTCTTATTAGCTATGATTATTTCGAGCTCATAAAAATATATCAATATATTGGCAAAATAAATTAATTATTTTAAGGGTGCATAAATATACTAGCGGATTACTATAAGATATGAGTGCTATATACTAAACTTGATTAAATAATGATTCAAAGATTTCTATTTAATCTAGTTTCGAAGAAAGCACTCAGGTTTAATAAAGAATTAAAAAATCTTTCATTGTCAGTAGGCCACGATCCACAATTTACATTTATTCAAATCGCAATTCTCAAAATGCTCTAATTTTTCTTTTTTCGTATTTGCTCTAGATTGCTTGCAAACGCGCTCTCCACTTCAAAGAATAATAATTATATTAAATTATTATAAAATTAACTTTATTTTTTGTTTATTAAATTATATCTTTGTTTTTTTTCTGAGCGGAAAAATAAACAAATGATTTGTTAACTGCAATGTACTTTTATTGATAAATAAACACAATTATCTATTTGCTATGGAATAAATTAACACATATGTTCAACGTGCCTTAATGTTTTAGAGTGGATTTCCATAAGACCTGAGGATGCTATTAAACTTGATTAAATAAATAGATTTATTTAAATATAATTTTCAAAGATTTGGTTAGATTATTTTGAACAACCCAAGAGTATTTTTTTTTTCAAATTCGTTAATTATCAGGCCTCGATCCACAGTTAACATTCCTTCTGCAACGACCTGAGCCTGTGTCATATCGAAGTTGGAATGGGCACCGCATTTTCCTGGGGCGTTGATTGAAGAATCCGCACTTGTAGAAACTCCTGCAGCTGGTGGAATCCACAATTCTTCCTATGCCGGCGCACATGGGCACTACCGGTGTAGGTGTAGGGGTCTGAGTTGCGGTTGGGGTGGCTGTGGCGGTTTGGGTCTGAGTGGCTCCAGTTACTGTAGCGGAGGTCGGGGTTCCAGTTACTGTAGGGGCGGTCGGGGTTCCAGTTACTGTAGGGGCGGTTGGGGTTCCAGTTACTGTTGGGGTCATGGTTGGTGTCATTGTTGGAGTAGGGGTTGGCAAGTTTGGATCGCATCCAGCAAGCTCTGGTGCCACGCACTCTCGAGTGCTGCTTCTGAAGTGCTGACCAGTGGGACATGTGTTGACGGAAGAGGGGATGGTGCTACCTTGTGCACAAGTATAGAAAACATCGCACGCTGAAAGAAAAAAATGAATATAATGTATGTTTGCCACAGAAAGTAAGATTTATTTCTGATTTTTTTTTATACGTATAAGATTTCTACAAAAAGGGAATATTTAGTTTTTAAATAATTATATAAATAATGATTTTAACTATTAGCATAGCATGAATCAAAATATCAATATCCACATTACTATGATGGCATCTTGGGTTTGCAGAATATAGCAGCCTATTTGTAACGTGTATTAAAAACCAATTAAACAATACTGAGTTTACCTGGAGGTCCTGAACCAAATATTCCTGCTGCGCTGCATGTAACTCTTAAACAAGGAGACATCCCAGAATTATCAGCTGGTGTTTCTGTGGGTGCTAATCCATTGGTAACAGTAGCAACGCAATAGGACATCATAGGAGTCGTAGGACATGTGTACATCGGAGTCATAGTTGGAAACATTCCGTCTGCGGGACAACGAACGTATTGTGTACGAGCACTGTTGCATGTTACTTGATTTGGGGTACAAAAAATTTGTGCTGTGGAATATCGCACCAGCAGCACAACCTGCAACAATTAAACATTTGAAGAAATTCAAAATGGACAAACAGACACAAAATTTACTATTAAAAAATATATCTCACCGTTAGGATGATTAATTTTTGCATGGTGCTCCTCAAGCGTTTGACTTCCACAAGTTGCTAGGAAAATGTGATTGCAATTCTGAATAGGCGAGACCTTTTATAGCTAGAAGAGGTGTCTCTTCAAATACAAGATATCATTGAATTTATTTGCAAACACCAAGTTGCGAATCACGACCTGCTCCAATTTTCCCATTATTTGGTTTGGCCTCTTGTTTGCTATTACCCATCCAACCGCGCTCCCCACACGTGAATATGATTGTTTTATCTATTAGCTACAGCTCCGATAGTCCGAGTAATTTTAATTTTTATAATAAATAATTATTACACATTTTACCTCATAATTTTTTTGAAAATAATATAAAGCTTAATTTTTTTAACAATTTTACTATAAATTTCAGTCAAAATTTTGGATAGTACTATAATATTAATTTTTTGTATTACATTCCATATATGAGAAGAACCCTTTCTGAAAATTGGAAGGCTTCGTGCCATAAACGAATAATTGTGGTCATGATGATAAAAAATTTCCGACCACATAAATTAAACAAATTTTTGAATGTATCGCAGAAAATGAGAAATATATTGTATCATTTTAGCTCATTGAAAGTCATGATAGGGGTTAATTTTTATTTGTCAACCGATATTATAAGCAATACCTTGAAATGCTTTTGATGGGTGCATTGGGAGATAAAGTGTGCAGGGTGCATCGTCAGATATTATGCAGCGCGCCTATTTCGTAACATGCAAATTAATGCACCTCTTCTCCTGTGCAATGCAAACACGCGTAAAATTGTGTCACTGGAGTGTGCAAACAAACTTTTCCTATTTAAGGAGGATGTTCTTTTTAAGGTGTCATTTGACATCCTGGATCCAGTGAATGCAATGGAGCAGAAATTGTGGAGACAAATTTTTGTGAGTGTGCTTTTTGTTTGTTAAAAAAATTGTTTTAATACTTTTTTTTTAAATTTATTAATCGGAAAAGTAAATATTCATTTCGTGATTTTTATTGGTTTGCAATAATTTTGCTACACAAATATATTTGGCTATACTTGTTAGCGGAATACAACTATGATTTTTTTCTCTCTTGGCTACCTTTTTTATTTAAAAAATGATAAAGTTATACACCTCTTTACTCTAAAACAACATTAGTGAAAATTACCAAAATTAATAATTATTGTTATTTTCATATTTTCAAGCACCAAAAATTAATTATTGTGTTTTCACAGTGCTTACAACTATTATAACCTTTGCATTTCCATGAAAGAAATATTTCAATTATTTTTTTTTTTCATCCGTAAAGGAACAATTTTTTTTATATAACTATTAATAAGGATATTTGATGAAGTTTAAATATCAAAAGTGAATATTTCGAACAATTTTTTATTGCAATCTTATCCATCACACAGGCGCTCACATGCCTATTACCAGTGTGCCTAGGAGTGGCCACCGATGCCGACTGCACCGGCACAACAAACCCTCCCTCTGCGTGTGAATCACCCACTTCCTACAAGCAGTGTCAGTTCAACCCCAACACCGGTGTATTGGAACTATCACCGACGATTACTACAACAGTCGATTGTACTTCAGGACAGACATGTTACAAGGACAACACAAAAGCCACAGACAAAACAACTCCGTGCGGTGCTCCACCGCCGGCATGCACAGTCGAAGGGAAATTTGCCTTCAGAGAAAGTAAGTGGTCACAATTGTATTAAATTTTCTATTTAAAATTTAATTATCAACATTAAAGTCAAAATTAAATTTTTAGAGAAATAGAAAATTTAAAATTTTCCTGACCATGCTAAGGTTTAAAGCTATATTTAAAAAAATTGACAATGACATTCAAATTTAATATCCAATTTTCCTATATGTTTTTTTTTTTATTAGAGCTGGACTACAAATTCAGATAAGTAAGCTTTGAACTTTTCCGCAGCTCGCAACCAAAACGTGTCGTAGGAATTTTTTCCTCCAAAAATTACAAACAGTTAAAAAAATCTTATAAAAGCAAAAGTATTGAAATTTTTTTCAATTGCAACTTACAACTCATCCCCGATTTGAAATGCTTATAATTATTAATATTATTATTATTTTTTTGCAAATTAGGAGGCTGTTCAATCTTTTACTCCTGCGTTAGTGATGGCGGCACCAATTTCCAGCAGGCAATAGTCACTTGTACCTCTGGCTTTGAATACAGTGAGGTCCTAATGAAATGCGAGCCGATCGCCACTGCAAACTGCTCCGTGCCTCTCCCGGCGCCCACTTTGCCTCCTGCGACCACTGCCAAGCAAACCACGTCAACCACCCTTGCCCCTACAACAGCAAAACCCACCGTCGCCTCTACAACCACACCCAAGTCAACCGCCGCCTCTACAACCCCTGCAACCACCATCACAACCAGCGCCCCTTGCAATAATATTGGCGCTCGATCTGCCGACCCCAAGAACTGCCGCAAATTCATGAGGTGCTCGATTCAGAATGACAAGATTCAGATGGTCTCGATGCAGTGCCCGTGGAGACTCAAATACGACGAGAACAAGAAGATCTGCCGGAGAAATGTTGAATGCGGAACCAGGTCTATTCTTAATTGAAAAAAAGATGAAAATGCTTGTAAATTTTCATTGAGAGTCATTTGAATAAAAATTGATAATTGCAAAAAAATTTCAGATATTTTCATCATTGCAATAAACACAGAATTGTTTTTTAAACATTTTAAATTTTTTCATAACAAGCTTTATTTATTGCAAAATTTCAACATTTGTACAAACAATAAATAGTGTAGGAACGCTATCCAATATCAAAATAACATCATTTTGCTTACAAAGAGAGCTTCTGGTTTTAACAAATAAATTTTTCTCTCACAAATCTCATAAAATAAACTTGGATTTCCATTGAAATCAATATCTATTAAGATTTAATTTTACAGGACGACTAGAAAGAATAAATCAGTATATTTACAAATCAATTAAAATATTTAAGCTTAGTTTTGCAAAAATACGCGACAAAGTTTTTTCTGTGAAAGATTTGGCTAAAATTTTGTACGTCTATACAATCAAGAAATAAGTGAGGAGTGTCTCCCCTGTAAAGTATACAGTCGTTCGATTTTAATACTCTGTGTGGCAAGGCGTTTGAGTCAACTAGAGATTTGTACTTCTAACAATTAAAACAATTTTTCACTTCTGCTTGAAACTATGGAAGGTCATTGTCATCTTCGATTCCACAGCAAAAGGAGCAGTCATTTAACCAGCCAGCTCTGCGCAGGCCAATGATGGCCAGGAGGGCGGCCGCAAGGGCCAACAAGGCCAGAACAGGCGCCACTATTAGCAAAGCCAGGTCAACGTCAGGCACACACTCAGGCAACACAATTTCCATCACTCGCACGTCCTGGCTGCCGCCACACTTGATCTGGTTTGGCTCAGGCGTCAGCAAAACCATCGTCTCGTTTAGCCAAGTCTGAAAATTAGACAAAAAAATAATTTATTCTTTTATTTTTTTCTTAGAGATAAATTTACCTGGGTTTCAATTATTGCACAATCGTTGCAGTCAAAGGAATTGGCGTCCAAATTGATGGACACAAGACCGTCAATTTCTCTGCGGCCGCTTCTCAGACTGAGGGCTGTGATCAAATTGTGCGAAACGTCCACCCTCTCAGCCCAGGTAGCAAAACGGGCGCCTTCCAGCGAGCGGATGATGTTGTGCGCCAGTCTCAAAGTCACCACACGACCCTCAGTTACAATGTCATCCACTGACTGAAATAAATAGGACAAAACTCATTTAAATTTTAAGGTTGAATTTTAATTTATTATATAGTAAAAAATCCCTTTTATTTAATTACGTAGCAAGTAAAAATTATTAGTTTTACATTTATTACAAAAAAATTTTGATTTGTTTTAAAAAAAATTTAAATTACAATCTTTACACAAATATTTTAATTTTTGCCTTTAATTTATTAATTTAATAATTTAAATTTTTATTTATTTTCCTAAAATTCATAAAAAAATTATTGTGGTAAAATTATTATATAAATTTACAAATTGTATGACTCAAGTTTGTGTACATGAACATATTGTCAGTTCCTTGTTTTTTATTGAGAATTAATCGAGGATCCATTTATTCAATGACATATAATTAAATTGTTGTTTTATTCATTTTTCAATTCTCAAAACCCAATTAAAAACCAGGGAAACAGTGAAAACAAATTGTCCTCATTACTAATGCCCAAATTTGTACCGAACCCCACAGAAAAAACCCTTCTTTCCTTTTTGTGTTGATAAAAAATCCCAATTAATCGGTGCATTCTCCAGAGCTCACAAAATTAAGGCGGCACCGGGAAGACACACAGGAAGGAGGAGGCGATTTGGATTAATTGGAAAGCTGTGTACCTGGAGCGCGTTGCTGGAGACGTCGAGATCGTGGAGGAGCGATAGGCGCAGTTTGGGCCCGCGGACCAGCTTGTTTCGGGCGAGGCTGAGGTGCCTGAGGCGCGGGCACGGCACCACCAGGCTCGCCGGCACCACCGACAAAAGGTTGTTGGACAGATCGAGCCTTTGAAGCGCCGGCAGCGGCGACAACGCGCCCTCCGACACGTGACGCAACCCGCAGTGCGACATGTTCAGCACTGCCAGCGCCGGCAGCGATGGAAGGGTGTCCACCATCAGGACTTCCATCTGCACCCCGGACAACTGCAGGTCCTGGCAACAGCAATGGACAAGGATTTTTGTTAAAATTGTTTAAATCTAAAAATATTTGAAATTGAAATGCATTTTTTCCCTCTATCCTACATTTTTTTAAAAATAATTTTGAATTGGAAATTGATACTGAATTTAAAAAAAAAATAATATCTCATTTTCAGAAAAATCATATAATTATATATGGTTAGGTTATTGATTGCGTGATATCTGCTTTTTTATACAAAATTTTTACTCTTACTAACAAACTCTAAAAGAGCAAATAATTTTGTTTAGTTATGAGATCATATGTGGAATTATAAAGGATTTTATGTCATCATTATCTCATTTAGCTGTGAAAAAATAAATGAAAATTATTTCTATTCTTTATTTAGTCAAGGAAATCTAAAACGTTTGATTTTTTCGTCAATAAATACACACAATTTTAAGGTAGACTTTAAATCACCCAAAATGACCACTATTTTATTTCAAAGTTTTAGAGGCAATTTGAAATTAAGTACATTACCTGCAAATAGTCAAGACCTGTGAGCGCCTCTTTCAGGGCAGCGCTGCCCCCAATTTTGACCAACGCAGAGTTTCCATCCAGGGCGAGCCCTTTGAGGCCTCTTTGGTGCTGCACAAATTCTGGAAGTTTCTCAAGACCGGAATGTGACAACGCTAACCGCTGAATTTGGTCAGAGCCTGGCTCCCCTGAAATTTCAAAACATTCGGAAATGAATTAAAAACAATTAAATATCCAAAAACTTAATTTAATAATAATAAAATAAAATTGGCTCCAAAGGTGGATTTTAATTAATATTTAATAATAATAATAATAATAATAAAATGAAATTGGCTCCAAAGGTGGATTTTAATTAATATTATTTGAAACTGTTCCCCAGTGGCACTAGACATTTTCATCACTATATGAAAAGTATTTTGATAAGAATTTTAACCATTTACGATCGTGATCCTGATACGGAAAATTGAGTGACTCGAGATTCTTTACGAGCCCAAAATAAACAGAATAAAACGTCAAGCAGGAGCAGTAAACGAAAAAATTCCTTGGCATCTCCATGAGATTTATGTGACAAAAGCTCAAGAGAGGGAAAATAAATCCGACGCCGGCAGTCAAAACACCGGGACACTTAATCTGCTGCTGCGGGAAATGCAGCCATTCAAATCTCCACCACTCATTGACGCCTTCTGAAATAACATACACGCGCAACAATAAGAGTTTCCTTTCAGTGTCCACATTGAATAATATAAAATTAAATTTTCCTCTTGCAGCTAAAGGAGCGTAAAACCGAGATTTTTTTATTTGGGCGCGAGTGTGCCTAACAATAAGAGGAAAAGGTAAACAAAGCCGGTATCAAATGCAAACATGTAGTAAAACCAGTTTCTTATACCACCACGACGCGGACGGGGCCTTCTAAAAGTGGGCCTCGCGCGACAGATGGGCAAACAAGCGATTAAAATATCAACCTAATTTCGTACTTTGAATTATTATCATTTCATTGTTTCAAAACGAAGTCACGGTTGTTTGTTAATGAAGTGCATGACCGTAATTTTTATTTTCTTCGAATTTGATGTTTGTTTTTAACTTTGTTAATTAAAAAAAAAAACCCAAATATTTTTCTACTTATGGCATTGCGAGTCTAATTTATGGCGCATATCATGCGTGGGATGATTGATTTACGAGCAATTATCTAGCAGATCGAGGTGTGACCCCGCATCGGGAAATGGTAATTGCGTCATTATCTCGAATAATTAAGGAAGGATCACAGTGCACCGCTCTCACTTTTTTAGTTCTCATTTTTTCCATCTCCGTCGTTTCACTCGGCCGAAGAAAAGGGTTAAGAGATGAGAGATGGAATAAAATATGCGCATTCATCACCCAAGTTGCTCCATTTGGAGGTGTAATGTTGGGGAATTTGGTATGAATAGAGCACGAACGCGAGTAATAAAACACCTCTTAAGCTGGAATGTGTAACGTGACTGCCCTCCATTGTTGTCAGAATAAATTTTGGGCTTTTCTATCTCTTTTGATCTCTACTGGATATATACGGTGTCCTCTATATTTTGAATAATAAAATCAAGAGGTTTGAAAAGAGGAAACTGAAATTTGATACGACGAAAAAAATTCAAATTTAATGATAGTAAAAATAAAAATAGGTTTTTTAAAGTTTAAACAATTATTTTCCAGACTGTTGTTGTTGCTTTTTTTAAGGAACTCTTGCTGATGAAGAATATTTGAATTTTTACCTTGAAAACTTGACGTTTTAAATTAATTAACAGAAAGTTGAAGATTAAAAATGCGTGTTTGCCCAGAGTAAAATTACAATATTTGAGATCCCCGCTGCGAAGAGCCGACCCGCAAGTTGGCTTTGTTTTCATCGCCGCGGTTTTCGAGAAGTCGGCCCCAATGATGAAGTGGACGCTTAGAATGATTTAGGTCCACGAATGCTGAGCCACATTGCATACATTAAGTTTGTAAGAAACAATGAGAAATAATTAATTTTTAAAAATATCCAAATCATCATCTTGAAGAAGAAGCGTTTTTTATATTTCCCTTGGTATTAAAAAAAATCTTGCTCATCAAAGCTCCGTTGAAAAACAAGTTTGATTTGCGATCAAAGTGGCAAACGGTGAATATTGAGACAGAAAAAAAATTATCAAGTCTTAAATGGCTACTCTCATCCGCAGCATAAAATTTATTCAAACTTCGCGGTGTAATGAACTCTCTTGTGATATTTTTTGTCATCACGATTATGGCGAGGAACGACGCGGCGTGCACTCGGAATAAAGAGAGGGACAAATGTGAAGTTGTCATTGAGAATGGGCAGCCATTGAGGCGAAACTGGACGGACTGGTCGCAGCGTTTAATTTGTTGCTGTTTACAAGCGAGACGCTGCGGTGGACGAAAGTAAAAACTAAAAATACAGTTAACCACTCTTGAGGCGGTGCTGCTGGACCAAGCGATGCTCTCGGATAGATGATAAAGTGCCGGCCGTAGGGAGATGATTTTGTAGAATCTTCGAATATCAAATTATATGTGTATGATCATGCCAGCCGTCAAGAAAAAAAAAGAAGAAAGAGCCGAGAGAGGGAGATGCATCTCTTTCTCTGGTAATTTTTCACCGCTGCATCTATTCTTTCACGACTCAAGGCCCCCGGCTGATTTCGAGTTGGTCGATCAATTTAATATGCAAGCTTTTTATATTCAATTTACGCCGCCAATTAAAACGAAAAGAAATTATATAGGAAGTGATAAATGCTAAATATTTATATGCATTTGGCTTTTAGAGGTTATAAAAAAGGAATTAAAGAGAACCGTTGCATCTTCGAAATCCTTTTGATGGTCTTTTCACTTCGGTGAGGACGTCAATGGCCATTAATAAAGCTCGTACACCTGTTCCGATGCGGCGCATGGATTTGCTTTCGAGACAATAATTTCTGAGGATTTATATTTGATTCGGTGTTATGATTGACGCGCGGCGAGAGAATATATGGAGGGGTCCCTGCTGCGTATCAAATGCCAAATTTTTAGTCAGCTTGACGAATAAGTCAAGTGTGTGTTGAGCGAGTAGGGTTTTTTTGAAGTAATAAAAGCTTCAAACACATGTGAGTTTTTCTTACCGACAAGTAAGCACATGAAATGAGAAAATTTTCATTAGATTTCACCCAAACTCACTTGACTGATTTCAAGTTATGAAATACAATATGAGATGTGGTAACAAGAGAAACTTAAAACGTATATATGAAAGTATCAAATATAATTATCGTGGAAATTTTTACTTAACGAGTCAATATTACAGTGGAAAAAAATTTTAAAAGTAATTTTCCTACTCCGTCTAAAAATAGAAATCTGTTGATCTTCAAATCTTGAAATATTTTGTCTGTATTTTATGATTGTGATTGCATGTTAATATTAATATCAAGAAAGCTTATTCTAAAATTGAATATTATGGGAATATTCATTTCATAACCTTAATTTGATTATGAGCAATTAAATAGATAAAAAGAGGGGCAAAAATTTAATAGTAAAGTTTGGAATATTCTTTTGAGGAAAATTGAAAACAAACAACAACAAAATTAAAATTTTGAAATTCAAATCATTTTTAGAACTGGTCAATAATACACGTGCTTATGATGCAAGAGATTGGCTTTGAGTTTTAGTGTGGAAAGTGTTTAATTGCGGTACTTAAATTTTATGGCCAATTTCACCAATCGTGAGTTTACCCCATTACAAGAGACGCGAAGCGGCTTTTAATCTATAAAAATAAGAATCGACCAACACCGAGCGAAGCCGCAACTGATCGAAGATAGCAAAAAGTCAACAAAACTCACACGAGGAGAGGTTTCCGAGCGCGCTGTACGAGAGGTCCAGTTCAGTGACGTTGGCCCCGACGCCGGCCGGCAACGCTTTGGCCTGTTTGTTGGGTTCGACGCCCGGCGGCCGCTCGGCCTCTGGCCGCCCGCCGCGGATCCGCAGACTCTGGAGGCTGTCGGTGGGCAGGTTGCGCACCACCGAGTGGCCCTTGGCGCTCCGGTCAGGGAAGCCGGACGCGGCGAATGAATAGTTGAAGGACAGAAGCACCAGGTCGAGTTGCGCGGCCACGTCCACTGCCGACACGGCCACCTCCCTGATGCAACCCCCTGAAGATTTTTCATCTCTGAAATCATAGTTAATTATATTTATTATTTGTGGTTTATTTCAAGTTTTATAAAATAAAATATGAATGCTAAACTATGACATTATTATAAATTATTTCTAAATTTTTTAGTCATAATTTATAATAAATTGATATTATGAGAGCTAAAACATGTTTTTGCCTTTTATTATTTATTTTTTGTTTGTTACGTTCTGTTTGATTGCAATTGCAATATTTTCTTTGATCGATCGCTCTGTCAACTATATTTCATTGTCTGCAAATTTTGATTTTAAGCAATTTGAGATTTCTTTTTTAGTTCAGAAAGGTGCATACATTTTGCTGACAATCAATTTCAAAAATAAATAATTTCCAACTCTTTTTAGTTATATTATTTATTATGCATATAAAATTGTTTTATTTTTTATTTTTAACTAAGTTACTTTATATTTTTTTCAGAAAGAGAACATTGCTGAGATACTGTCTGATGTTTTGTGTGCATCTGATTATCTTTAAATCCCCCTCTAGTTCCTTGCCCGTTTATAAAGAAAGAAAAAAAAATAAGCGCCGCTTGTGAAATAACAAGTGCTTTCTTCAGGGCCGGGCGTTGAAGTTACCGGTATGACCGGTGGAAAGAGATCCCCTGCTTCTTTTTTCGGAGCAACATGAAATATGACTCTCCATGCTTTTGATATCACGCGTCCTCTCCTGAATAAAGCTTTAATTAGAATTTCGGTCCAATTTTAATTTAACGGGCGGGCAGAGCTCATTTACTTTTAATGAGAGCTGCGTCGCCAAAAGCGATTCTCCAAAAGTCGAATTCGGCCTCCGTCCTAGGAAGTAGTTAAGTAGTGCCCAAAAAAGATTTTTTCGGTCAACAACAATCTGGACGGCGTGACCGCTAATTTATTTTCGACGAGTAACAGAACTTTTTCGGTTGATGATTCTGCTCCGCGAGTTTCGGAGGCTGAATTTGGGAGAAACGATTTTTCCTCTCGTTTGCTCGAATAATGATTGCCAGGCAGGGAAATCGTGTTTTGTGGAGAAAAACTCGTGTTTGCTGCAGCTTTTTTTTATTGGACGTATAGAAACTCAGGCAGAGATTTATAATCGTGCCTTTATTGCCCGTCTTGTTAGGCGCGAGAGAAAATAAATTACACACTCGAAAACGACTGACGCGTACACAAAACGCAGAATAGAAATGCATCTCGGCAGTGGCCAAGGATGAGAGCCGTTTTTGGACTTTGTGATTGTGTGTGATTGCTGTGTGGCGAAAACAATGGGACAACAGCTAGCCTTGGGGGCTTTGGAGGGAACGATTTTTGGAGATAAAATCAGTGGCGCCTTATGGCAGAAAATTCGGCCTCTCACACCTTCAATTTTCGAACTAATTAACAATTTGAATATTTATCCAGCAGTGTTCCCACAAATTATTGCAGGAAGTTTAAAAATCTATAATTATTATTATTTTTTTTAATCAACTTTTAAACCGCATTATGGTGAGTAGTTTGAATTTGATAATACCAAGTTTCTTATTTTGGAGTGTAAAAAATTAATCTTTAATTTTTTCTCTGCAAATTTCTGCTTTCTCCTCTGGATTTGTTTTTCTAATTTTTGCAAGCGTTTCTTCATAATAATTTCTTTGGTTAAAAATCATTTGCACTTTTTGTATTCCTCACAAATTAACATAATCGCTATTGAAGCTTTTGCGCGCAAATTTAGGCATTAATGAAATAAATAATATTTTGTTGCTTACAACAAATTTTTTTTAAATTCCCTTTATAGTTATTCTAATGAACGGGAATACAAGTGAATTTTTAAGTGAAACGCCAGCACCTGTTTAGCACTGTTTAGGAGACTTTTTAGCTGATTTCAAGAGGATCAAGATCAAGGTTTTTTTTATAGAAAATTTAAACAGAAGCTTAGTGTTTTGTGCAGTTTCTACAGATGTACAATTTATTGAACTGCAAATTTCTTTTCTGATAAAAGTTGCCCGATTATATCAAATAACTGGTTTTCGGTGATTTTACAACCTGAATGTTTTTTTAATTCAAGGCATAATGTGGGCTTTATTAATGCATTCTAGACATTTTTGACAAACTTTAGAAAATGGTGATTGCATATTTTTCCTATTTCTATAACAAACACTTAATTAAAAAAATTCTCCTCAAAAATTTAACATTATTATTATTTATCTTTTCCGTTGGGCCTTATTAATTACTTTAAAGATGGGAGAAATTTGCTCTCACATGGGAATTAGTTTTTTTATATAAATGATTCAGCGCAGGATGGAGATACCGATATTATGCAAACGAGCGGGTAATTCACATTCTCCGATTGTGAGTGAGAGAAGCCGCAGAGTTAAAAGGCTCCCACAGGGCATGCAAATGAAATAAAAGGCAATCAGCGCCGCTCACGAACGACATTAAAATTTTAATTTGTTCCTCTCTCTCTCACAATCGGTGCCTGTTAAAAATCCATCACTCGTTTGGGTCGAACAAGATTCCAGTTTCCCACGATTTTGTGTTAAAAAGCAGAGAGTGTTTGGGTGCATGCGCGTTTGACGGGAGCTTCATATTTATTATATTAATGTGTGTAGCACGTCAAAGACGGGCCGAAAGAGCAGCGCGCGAGTTACACATAATAAAAAGAATTTCCTGATATCGTCTCGCCGCAGCTATTCACAATGCTGCTGCTGGAGCGCGGATAAATGACTCTGACATTTCTGATGTAATAAAGGGCTTTTAGGATTCCGGTCGCATCCCATAAATTACCGCACAGATTGTGGGACGCGGCACCTGTGCAGACGGACGAACCCGCGCAGAGAAAAGACAGTTCAGGGTGCATCCTTTCACACAGGACTAAAAATTATAATGGTCCTTAAAATGACACACCATCCGCCGGAGATGGAAATGTTTAATTCATAAATTTTCGGCTGTAATTTTTGTTTGGAATTTTTTAAACGTGCACGCGTGAAATTATTTAAAAATAATTGCAGTTGGCTTTGCAAAGGTGTGGACATTCCTTATTGTTCCTGAAGAACATTGGTGAAATAAATTTTTTCGTTTCATGCAAGTTTTATGTTTGTCAATTGATAGAAGCGCTAAAAAACTGAAAAAATTTATAAAATGAGAAGTTGTTTGTACTTTTTTTAACGTTATTAATAAGTTTATTATTAATAAGCGCTATAATTTGGTAAAGTTCCTATATCATGAAGACCCCCCATCAGCCGCAATCTTAAAAATTTTGTTTTTAAGTTGCTTATAATTTTATTAATGTTTCTTTTACTTTTCTGAAATGACAGAGCAAAAGAGACTTAAAAAAAAATAATGTTTTTACTGCTTTCTTCAATGCACAGCCCGCAAAAATGCACAGTAATTCCCTAATCACCTCTTTTTAAATCTTTTTAATTCCATATACAATATGTTTGCTTCCCTGCGAGTGAATGTCGTTTAGAAAAATAAATATGTGTGGTCGTCGACACTCTTGGAGGCAAACAAACTTTCAAAAACGAATCAATCTCTGGTTCAGTGGAAGATTCCTTAATTTTTCTTTGCAGTACCACAGAATATATAAAATAATCCCGGCCATTCATCCTTTCAGCTGGAGGTGATTTGTGTTTTTTTAATGCCCTGTGTAAATAGTGGTTAATAATTGTGAATCGGTGTTCGTTTTTTTCCTTTCGGCTCCAATGAAAGAAAGGTTGATCGCGTTCCTATAGTGTATAAAAAGGTGGTCTCGGCTGATGGGTGGTCTCTCCGCGGCGAGACCGAAGGGGAGGAAATTAAAACGTTTTGTGGCTGGGCATGATTCTTTGGATTCTTCTGCTTTTTTCTTCCACTGCTCTCGTAATTTATGAGCGTGCGTCGCTTCGGCGCAATTTAGATCATCATCTCGTCCCGATCACGCGCATTGTTCGTTCCTCGCAGCATCTGCATTATTTTATTTCTCTCTCGCGATCATTCGGATGTGGAAAAGAAAACCCTCATAATCCAACGGTTGTTTTAGCTCGCAATCGGTAGAGGAAATTTCTTCCTCTCGTGAAACAAACGCAAGCTCGTGCGCGCCACACAAAGATCGGAAGGCGAGATAACATCGCGCGTCTGATTTTTCAGTCAGAGGTCGATGATTTTGGGTCGAACGTGAAGAGTGACAGCGCTTTCCCACACATAAATCTCAACGCTTGGACACGATTTGTATTCCGATGAAGATGTTCCTTTCTCTTGGAAAACCCACAAACTGCTGTTTAGGATGTAAATTTGTCTTTCGAGAAACATTTATGTTAAATCAAATTAAAATAGGAATAAAATATATCAGAGCGATCCTAAAACTTGACAAAGTTAGTCTGCGGATGAAGTGGCCACTTTTTATTTCCGCAAGAGAAAGGAGTTTTAATCTGTTCATCTTTCTTAATATCTTTATTATCTTTGATTTAGTTACAAATAAATTGTATTATGTATGATGCAATTATATTTAGTCAATTCGCAAATAAATTTAAAACGTGTGAGGGATTTTTACTTAATTAATTGTTTAAAATTCAAGTTCAAGAGTATAAATAGAAATAAAAAACTGCATATCCGTTTTTGTAATCAAACCAACATCAGAATGTGTTTTAACGGCGCAGAGGGCACTATTTTGATTATAATAAAGGTACTATACAAGTTAATGACTCGTAAAACTTCCCGATTTCCTGCCTCTCCTTTGCTCTCGTCTTGCATAATTCATTCAAAAACCACCAACGTTCTATGCTTTCATTCCCCAAGTTTTTCTTCCCAAATTCATTGTTCTGGCCACTTTTTATTTCCGCAAGAGTAAAAGGAGCTTTTGTGCGGCGTAAAGAAGTTGCAGCGTCCTTTGGCTTTGTTGTGGGCCCAACAATGCGCGCGTGGAATGCAGCGCGGAGAGGTGCCTTGAAAGGGAACATTTCACAGACGAAACAAGCGTTTCGAACAAAGGAACGACTTCCAGGTAACAGGAATGACGACGACGAGTGAACGTAATGCTGCAGAAACAGCGAGATTCAG